CAGCCTTTTACTTTTATTTTTAGAAATATGTTACTTTTCGAAATTCAATACTTATAAATATAATATTGCATTTTTGTTTATATAACTATGTATATAACCTAACTCGCCAATTTTGATGATATTATTATAGTTAATTTGACCACTTTACTAACGTGATATGTAATGAGGTAACTATGATAGTTACCTTACCACTAAGTATGGTTAAAATCATATTTTAATAATAAAATTAATTATTTTCTTCAAAACTTATTTAAAATAATAACTTAAATTTGAGTGTCCGCTCGTGTTATTTATTTTGTAATCCCTTTTAATTTCAGCCGTTGATATATTTTTATTTTAAATAAATAAACGGTGGAAAGTTCAGGTGTAGACAGAGAACCGGAATGGTGAAGTAGGGACCCACGAGAATCAGCGCAAGACATTGGAAACTCGAATGCTATCTTATCCTGGATAACATTTCAGCTACTTCCTCCATTCTTCGGTCCTTCATGTTCCACGCTGTCACCGCCCGGTAGCCTCACTCAAACCCAAAATGGCGTTCTCATCGTCCCTATGGTCTTCCCTCATTGTTCCAAACCCCAACAGAACCACCATTTCCCCTCGATTCTCTCACAAACCGCACAAACTGCCGCTGTCGCCGGCATTTGCCATCCCGCCGCTCTCGACGGCTACCGCGGCCGACGTCTCGGGTGCTATCGACGGGACCACAGTGGCGGTGGTGAGCGGGGGGTTCGTGGCGGCGCTGGCTGCGGTGCTGTCGCTGACGGACCCCGAGCGGCGGCGACAGATGCAGGCGGAGGAAGTGGGGGGAGGAGACAAGGAGGTGGTGAGGGAGTACTTCAACAACTCAGGGTTCCAGCGCTGGAAGAAAATCTACGGCGAGACAGACGAGGTGAACCGGGTTCAGCGCGACATTCGGTTGGGACACTCGAAGACCGTAGAGAGCACGCTGAGCATGTTGAAGGACGAAGGATCGCTTCAGGGCGTTACGGTTTGCGACGCCGGGTGTGGGACCGGTTCGCTCTCGATTCCTCTCGCGAAAGAGGGTGCTGTTGTGTTCGCCAGTGATATCTCCGCAGCTATGGTTGCTGAGGCTGAGAAACAGGTTACCCTGCATTCCTGTTTTCTTCTTCAAAATAGCGGCGCTTAGTTCGTTTGATTAGTAGTTATTCATACTTCAATATTTTTTATATCTGTTAATTTTGAAGCTGTTAATTTAACATATTAGTATTTCATGTGCACAGCGAATAATTAAAGGCATTTATTAACATGACATTGAATTTTTTCAAAATTGATAAATATCCAATAAATTAGTGAAATCTGATAAATACCCTTATAGTGGATGTGCATATGGGTATAATACAGGTCCTAGGCACAGACAACAGCCTTCTAATTAAGAGTTTGAGCACGTGACACGTATAAGGTTCGGGATTGTGCTCTATTCTACCAAACTCTTAAAATTATAAGGTCGAGCTTAGTGTCATGTTTGACTCATTTATGTACTTGAGTTTGATATTAAGCTTAAATTTACCTGTTTGAAAACCTAAACGAGCTTGATGAAGGAATTAACAAATTAAATAGTCGATGAACATTAGTAAGATGAATAGCTGAGGTACCCCCTTCCCCCTGACGTGATGAACACATAGGAGAGGTGAGGTCAAGTAATACGCCATTGCTGACGTAAAACAATGACTTTCCATTTGGTGCAGGCAAAAGAACAACTTGTAGCCAGTGAGAATGGATCTACCCCTGTGTTGCCAAAGTTTGTAGTGAAGGATTTAGAGAGTTTGGATGGAAAGTATGACACGGTGGTCTGCCTTGATGTTTTGATTCATTACCCTCAAAGTAAAGCTGATGGGATGATCGGCCACCTTGCTTCATTGGCCAACAACCGATTGATTCTGAGTTTTGCTCCGAAGACGTTTTATTATGATATACTAAAGAGGATTGGAGAGTTGTTCCCTGGTCCTTCAAAGGCAACAAGAGCATATCTTCACTCCGAAGCAGATGTTGAAAGGGCATTGAAAAAGGTTGGCTGGACCATAAGGAAGAAAGGCTTAATCACTACTCAATTTTACTTTGCCAGGCTTATTGAGGCTGTTCCTATGTAGTGAGGACTGAAAGGTAAGTTTTGTATAATTGAAGGAAAGTCTTAGTGTAAAATGTAAGGCATTATATGTCGTGATTTTGTATGCTATTATTTTGCGCATATCTATCATGTATATTTCTTCTTAGTGTAGAAGATGCTGATGAATTGAGGCTATGTTTAGTATATTGTATATCTCAGAGATAAACCCGTAGCAGCAACAAAATCTATGGTAAAATGTATTATAGATCCCCCAAGATTTGGTCATATTTGGTTCTAGTCCTTCCATTTTAAAATAAGTGGTTTTTCAGTTTTTTTCTGAGATATAGTGATTTAATCCACGTTCCTATCCTTCATTTCAACCTAGCGAGGGAGCAATTCCTCCACATTTCAGAAAATACAAGAACCAAAACCACCTTTTTTAAAATATAGGGACTAATACTAATTTTGAACTAAGCTTAAGAGACTTAAAACACATTTTACCTTAAATCTATGGATGCAGAGTGCACCACACTGTAACCTTAGTTGGAAAATGAGGACGGAGTCATACAAGGGAGGATGTGTCAAGCTTATGAGCTTTCTGCAAAAATGCTTGAAGCATTACAATCATAAAAATAAATAAAAACTATACTAGTCATATGGAGGCAGCAAAATACAATTGGGTTATCAGATATCGAAAGCAAACTTCGGGTCAAGATTGTTCACTTTATCATCGAACCTTGATAATTTCACCATGAGTAGGTTTGATTAACTTTCTTCTTTTGAATCTATTTAGTCACTTTTAACAGTAGTTATAATTTCAACTCCATTTTTTCCTTACCAAACTAAAATTGCAGTTAAAGGCAAAAGAGTGGTAATATTTTTTAATTTTCATTTAAATAAACAGAATACTGTTATTCCCCTTGTGGGCCTAGCGACTAAAGCATTATTTGTTTTCTTCGTATATGATTCCAAAAGACTATGAGTAGCAAAGAATTTTGGTCAAGAATACATTGTTCTGGTTCTTTTCTTTATTTAAAAATTGTCACCTAGTACAGAATAAAAATGTTTGAACTTTTATGCGAGATAATACTCTTCTCAACGTTAGCTCTTTCGTGATCAGTTTATATTTCTGTGTTCTGTATAGTAACTATACCAATCAGGGTTTTCTCTTTCCTAGTAGCTTCAGTTAGTTTGTTGATGTAAGACACTATAACTATCTGTCTTGTTGAGTTTCAACACTATAAATACAGGTTGTGAGCATATGCTCATCCAGTATTGCATTTCAATGCAGAAAGATATTTATATATCAGTATACCAATTCTTTATCTTTCAACAATATTACACAAAAACTGCCATCTCAAGTTAATAACTGCCATACAGCAAATAAAACCCCCTCATATAACCGCCATACCAAATTCATAAGCTGCCAATAACATTTTCAATAATGAATAAAGCCTTACTAGAGTGAATCTGCCTTTGATTCGTCCTAACATAAACCTTTAATGATTTCCCAACTAATACTGCTGTTTTGGTACTGAATCAAAACAGAAAACATAACAGGAATCCAATTCATAAATATTACAAATAGAAAGCTAACATTTGTCATAATAAATACTATTAGAGTCCTAATATCTCTTGCAACAAATATAGATTGGCCACTCCTCCAGCTCAATGTAAAGAACCCATTTCACCATGGCAATGTGGAAGAAGATGACGTTCCGAGTTAGGTGTCCTCTTCCGGAACCAAGGTGGTATGCAAGTTATAGCAAGCATTATATGGATTGGACTGTGTTTTGAAGATTTAACTCGCTATGAGAAGGTATGGTTTTGACCAAAGCAGTGTAGACCATACTGTATTATTAAAGCTGTGTAGAGGACTGTGTTTTGTATAATTAGAGGAAATTCTTAGTGTAAATTGTAAGCTGTTCTGTGTCGTTATTTTATATCCTATTATTCTCCACCTATAATTCTATCATGTATATTTCTTCAGTGTAGAAGAGGCTGATGAATTGAGGCTATGTTGTTTTCTGGGGGAAATAGAGTGAAGTGGTTCACTGTAAATTTGTGTGCAGCTGGTGATTACTGCTCCATTGGGTTGGTAGAATGGAGGCAAGCTCCTCATATGTTGTCCATACAGAAGTAACTACTATCAAGGGGAGTAGTTAGCTCATGTATTACATTTTCGGTAATAAAATAATAATAATAATAATAACAAAATCAGGGATGTAAGTCAATTAACTGACATGTTGGAGAAAAGTTCAAGTATCGCACCTTTTTTATTGTCTTTAACAGTGTCTTAGCTGTTGATAGAGATCTCATACTACTCTCCTTAACAGACTCGAACCATATTTTGCATAAAGATGTTAATTTATATTAAATTTACTGTAAACCTGCATTTAAAATAAAAAATTTCAGACATCAATCGTATTACATTAAATTCAATTTTAATTAATATTAATTTTGCAAAACTAAGTAAAAATACATACGACGCATGCTAAACTTTTGATAAACATAATTTATAAGTTGATTGCCCGTAGAATATAGTGTACCAGCATAAGTCATCAGCGTAGGCTATTTATAGGTTTTATTAATGTCTAATTTCACGAAAAAGAATAGACTTAATGGAAAACATAATGATTTAAGTTAAAATTGCAAATTACTTTTTCGTACTATTTAGTAGTAACAAGGAAAAAGTAACAGTATTTGCAAGAAATTCTTACATGCACACATTAAACAACAATTTTTATTTTAATCAATTAAAATTATTTAATGTTTGTTTTTTATTTTGTCTTATTTTCATTTTAGTGAGTGTGCAAATAAAAGCAGCTAGATGGTATATGTCCGACCTAAGAAAAATGGATTTGCAATCTGCATCGAGTTGAAAGAATAAACTTTCAACTTCATGAAAACAATATGAAGAATAATTCTCCCAAAAAGCAAATCGGTAAAGGTAAATGAAGTACTAATTAAAAGAGGGTAAAATAATGATGATTAAATCTAGTGCAATAATTAGCAGTAATATGCATATCCTTTGTGATATGAATTCATTTACAGCTTGTCAGCAATCTTTGTGAGAGCATCGGTGAGCTTGCCAAGGGCTGCAACTAAGATGTCAGTTTGCTGCTTCTGCTGGTTCCTGGCCAATTCATAATTTATGTTCTGAGTTCCAAGATGGGCTTTCAGTATCTCACTGTTTCTCCTAAGCAATTTGGTAATACTGTTGTCGAAATCTGTGTTGTCCTCACTACTGTCCGATGATACCCGCTTTCTCTTGTATCCATGCTGAAATACAGGTTCCCTCTGAAAGCCTGAACCAAAATACTTTCGTTCAGATTGCAAAAAGCAAAGCTCATTAACTCTGGAACAAAATTCAGTGTAGTTGGACTTTCATCATTCAATCAATCACCATCGTCCAGATAAAATGAGTGATCAACACAGAATGATTTCGATTGGCTGACCAAATGAATGTGTGAAAAATACGCGAAAAAAAATTTATTTCAATGACTACAGCAACATTTTCACGTGCAGCTGATAGTTTCCAATTGTTAACAAATTCATGCTAAATACAAGTTATTCCTCCATATCTCAGTACAATGCAGTCTCTGTTTAAAATGATATTTCAAAAGACGCTGATTTATGTTATTTGTGCGAGAATAACTTCGTTCGAAATAACAATTTCATAATGAAATTATTAATTGATCTTTAACAACAAATTTACAGTATATGGTGCAATGCATTGCCAAATGAAATACTAGTAGTGGTAGTTAGGAATTATTGTTTGTTGATTCAATTGACAGCAACAGTTGCATATAAACAGTGTTTCAGGGACAAAAAAGTTCTTTGAAAAAGGAGAAACAAAAGGGGCTACATTAAAAAATGGGGACCAAACTCTACTATATATAAACCCTAACATTGCATCACAGTCGAACTGAACAAAAGTGACAAACATATACTACACAGCAGAAGTAAATTGGTTTGATTACAAGGATCATAGTTCCCTTGGCAAGATGGCGGCTGCTGCTGCTGCTTCTCTGCTTATTAGTTGAAAGCAACGAGAAAATAATTAATCAATACGAAAAGGGTACACGAGAGATTAACCATTGCAAACTAAAATGGTCAATATTTTGAGCATAAAACAACATAAAAAGGAACATATGTTGTAACTCTCTTCAAATTCAGAAACAAAAACGACAGTGTAATCGTGTAACTTGGTACCTTGAGTAGGCAGTGAGAGTAAGGGGGTGTTTCTGAGACTCCCAGTGATCTCTTTCTCCTTGAAACCTGGTGGCACTTTCAAAACACCATTGGCCATATTTGCAGCTACGCTGGTCTCCACATTTTCTTCTTCGGTGCTCCAACTCATTTTCTCACTATCGACGATGGCCTCATCCTCCTCCTCCTCTTCTTCCTCCTCATTCTCCTTGCATTGTTCTGGACCCACCACCTCTGCAAAACCATTCTCCACTTTGGGCACCATCTTCACCAGTGTCAAGGGAAATGCAACAGTGGTGCACACCCCTCCATCCAACACATTGTACACCACCGAGTCAAAGAAACCCGGAAGCTTCTTCTCCTTCCTCACATCATTTCTCATGATCCAAAACGACTCACTCTCCTCCTTCACCCCCGATTCCCACTTTTTTATCTTCCTGAAATCAGTGAGGAGATTGCCCCACCTTTTCCTGCACTGAACCGCCCCTCTCTTCACCCCACGTTGCTGACAAAACGATGACACCATCTCCCATTTGGGATCGCTTTGGATGAACCCCGAAGCTGATCTAAACCGACAACCTTGTTCCCCACTTTCCACCATTTTCTTAGACTCTATCAGAACAAGAGTTTCTTGTCTGGTCCATCGAGGGTGTCTCGTGGCTTTGATTCTTCGTGTCTTGGACTCACCCTCTAGGGGTGTCTGTCCTCCAACTGGGGTAGTAGTTGGAGACTCAGAGACACCTTCACAGATTTTTTCTGCTGATTCCTCTGCCATGATCACACCCTTTGTTTCAGTGAAAGACTCCGAGGATTAAGATAAGAACAGGGTGATACATATAATAAAGACGTGCTTTTATGCTACTCAATGAACTTCCAAAGAGGTACGATATTTTCGCTTACGAGACTTCTTTCCACGTCAGATTATTTTCTCACATTAAAAAAATAATTAATTTACTCCTAATACCTGCAATTTTTCTTCTGTATTTTATTTAGAAAATTTAAAAAATTATAGTTTGAAATTCGATAATATTGTAAAAGGATGTTAAAGTTTTTAAATAAATATATAAAAAAATTAGAATTTCAAATATATAAAATATATTAAAATTTAAGAAATTAGAAGACAAGACCCCTCTTTTCTAATGAAGCCACCCTTGTTCCTTATTAATCAAAATTTCTTGAAAATTATAAAGTTTAATCTCCTAGTTGATTAATTTTATTTTATAATTGTTAATAGATCTTAATTAATAGAATAATGTACTTTAACTCTTGTGATTCTAATCCTCCCTGTTTACTTAATACTCATGTTCTTGATAATGTATGTGTATCTTTTCTTGACATATATTTCCATTGTCCTTCTCAGAAGGCATAAATGAACAGATTCATATACATTAAAGATGATAATTAATAGTAATAAATTTATCAGTAAAATAATTAATTATAGAGGGAGAATAGCATGGTGGATTATTCATTCTCTCCAATCTTTATAAGAGAGAGAAATATATAATTGTCCGTATTTATTATTTATGGACTAAAATGATTAAGGGTCTTTTTAATAAAATAAAATTAAAGCAATAGATAGTTGGGATAAATTTTTATTAAAAGATGCAAAAGTAAATAGTAAAACAAAATATTCATTCCTTATTCTAATATAATATATACTTACAATGTATTAATAGAAATTAATTTTAAGAACATACTTAATTAATTAATTTTATTAAGAAATAAATTATTTATTAACTTATCAAATTATTCATAATTATTTTTTTTCTTTATTTCTCGTCAATATTCTTTTTTTTTAATCAAACTTACCTATTTCTACTGGCTCAAATTCATACGTGAATCCAAACACACCCTTAAAATAATTTCTCACATTTATAACCAAAATGTACTTAAAAATAGTCAACTGCCCCTCTTGAAGATGTCATTTCCTTCAAGTAAGATGCTTGATTTCGAAAGGATTTTGAAATTTATATATATATATATATATATATATATATATATATATATATATATATATATCCGATAGTAGTAAAAATTCACAGTTCAATTTAGATTTATCTTAAGTAAGAAAAAAATAGTACGTATTTAAAGTTGGTCTTTATTGTGTTTTATAAAAACTATTATAGTAATTTTAATTTATTACTAGTGTAAAGACTGACTACTGAACAATCTAATCAGATTTTATTGCTATTTGAATTAGATTGGTTGTTTCAATTTTTGGAGCTGAGAATCTCTAATTTTGCCAACAAATAATTTTTTTATTAATCAGAATAGTAATAGTAGAATCTTGAACTAAGATGCAAACCAATTTTAATGATAGATGATAATTGTGTTTGAAGAAAAGAAACAGTTTATAAACTTGATAAATAATAAGTTAAGTTGGATTTTAATTGATAAATTAGTTTATAATTATAAGTTAACAGTTAATCAATAAAATACTCTATTTGATTTTTGTAAAAACAATTTTGTAAAATCACATAAAAGAATGTAGTTATATAGGTTTTGTTATATATAATAAAAATTTCATTTATAAATAAAATATATTATTATTTGACTATAATTTTATATTTTTTAAATATTTATTTTTATTTTTTAATGTTTAAATTTATTTTTAAAACTTGTATATGTTTTCTGCGTCGGACAAATTATTTTATTGAAATAATTTATTTAGTTTTTTTATTTTCAGAAATTTATTTGTTTTTATTCCTTAATCTAAATTACATTTACTTTTAATTTTCTTCTTACAATTTTTTTATTGTTTGTGATATTTACATGACATCATGTAATGAAATATATTAATTAATTCAATTTATACTATTAAATATTTTTAATTTAAATTTCATAAAAAAATTAAAGAATAATCAATAAATATTAAAATGACACAATAACTAAATATCTCTACAAAATAATTAATATCAATTTAGTGTTATAGTTGACTTCTACCAATTCCTAATATTTTCCATTTTCCTTATTGTTCCTTATTTCCCTTTGAATATGTTTCCAGAAAAAGGCAAAGAATCGGATTTTTAAGACTCAATATTGAGAAAATACCTAAACTTTTATTAATAGGATACATTAACCTACTTGGTATAAAAGTGTAGAACTCGAATAAAAATTAATAGCCTAATTGTATTAGGCAGTGGGTTTGGCAAAGAAATAAAATCATATATCTACAAAATAAAAGGTTATTTTTAATTATTTCAATTCATATCATTGTCTTTTTAAATAGTACAGTAGTATAAATATATATTAATTATCTCAAAACCAAATATAAAATCGTTTGTTTGGTCATAACTATTTATTTTAGTTCAGCATATAAAAGTTAATTATTTTATAATTTTCAACTTATAAAAAGAAAAGTAAACAATTAGAATGATAAGTAACTTTTATAAAAGCATTATGTAAAGTCATAGAAAAATAGAAAATATGTAAGAGAATTTATTTTAAAATATCATACTCAGTTATTTTATTGTTAAAAGTCATCTAATAAATACAATTTTTATGAAATTCATTTTATAAGAATTATGATCTCTTTAAAAGAAATTTTTTTCCATCTTTTCTTTTGATCTTTGACTTTATATTTTATTTCTTTAAGATCAAAGCATGCTATAAAAGTAAAATTTATTTTTTATCCGATCAATTTTTTAAATAAAATCATTTTATTTTTTAATTTTTTTTAATTTTTATATTGCATGTGTGAGTTTTGGAAGTTGCATGTATCATCTCAAAACTCTAAGTGAATATATATTCAATTAAAATTATTAGGATATGATTAAATAATTTATTTGAGCTTTCTTTGTGCAGATATTATTTTGGGTACATTTAGTAAAAAAAGTGGTGTGTGCTTACTCACAAATAAGGAAAGTTAGATATTTAGAAACCTTTTATTGTGATTAATGAATGAGTTGATAGATGAATTTGCTATTATTATTATTTAATTCAACATGTACTACGATCTTTGCTCAATTGATGAATATGATTATCTGAAGTTGCTTGTGAAGAATTGAAGTGTATATGAGAATAGATGAGATGTTTACTTAATGATAACTAAATTCAATTCAATTAGTGTTAATTGGTAAAGTTTTGAATTGATATAGTCTGTTTGATTTAAGAATATACGAAGAATAACTTCTAAGGTCAGTTGAAATAGATTCAGGTATTTGTCTTGAATTATGAATTATGCATACATGCTCATTGAACGAGAAACATAATTCAAGAAGTGAATGATGCAGGGGATGACCTACTCGCTAGGTGAATGATACACTGACTGAGTGAGAATTTTTTGTGAAAAGTCAAATAAGCATAGATGATTCACTTGTTGGGCGAGATAAGACTCGTTGGACGAATTTAAAAAAATTATTCTTAAAGGTCAAATTCATAGAGTGAGCAAAACACCAACTAAGCAAGTTTTTAAAGATGTTTTATAGGTTTTTGAAAAAGGGTTTTACAAATGGAATGTTTATTTGATTTTGAGAATGTGAATTGTTGAAATATTTTATAATGAGTTTATATGTTGGTAAGTTATTGAAAGAGCGAGGTAGGTAAATGTGATGAATAAAGTGGGTTAATGGGGAGGTAGTGAGAAAGAACATACATATAGGATATAAAGTAAGATTTGAGAGGGTGAAGGTGAATATGTTGTAATTTGTAAACAATCTTGAGATGCTATAAGTTCCCTTTGGACTAGAGGTAAATTATCATAAAAGTGAATTTGAAGCTTTTGGAGAATAGCAAAGGCTAATTCAAAAAATGACATTCAAACATAAATATAACATGTTGAAAATTTCTTTCCAACAGAGGCTACATGAATAATTGGTATGAAAACCAATGTTGGCGAAGGTGAGAAAGAAAGCGGGGGTGCACAATGTGAAAACCTTGACGTATGCTGTGTGCAAGAAAGTTTATACTACATAACATTCTCATGTTCTGTATGATTTTCTTTAAGGTACCGAACAAGATAAGTAAATAATTAATTCAAATTCAAAACAATTTTTTGTAAATATGAGAAATACAGAAAAGGAACATCAATGGGAAAAAATATTTATGAAGCAACATGTTGAAATCTAAATACGAAAAATGAAAGAAGTATACCAATAATGAATAACATCATGAATCTTCTTTATAGTAAAAGAACATCAAGAAAGTTAATGGAAACAAAAACTATAAGTATGGGTTGATATATAATAACAAAATAAAAATTATTCTAAAAATATGATACTAGTTTTTGGTTTAATGTGTGGTGAAATATTCAAAGCATGAGAAAAGAACATACTAACAAAAGTCAAAATCTATAAATTGAAAAAATAATCACTTGATCATATTTTTTCTACTTACACAATAGTTCATAAAGTTTGAAACATGAACATAACCATGTACATGTATACATACCCACACATAAGACAAGCATACTATTAAAGTTTAACTAATTTTATTTAAATGTGCAATAATATTTATTGTAAGAAATATAACGTAAAACTATATATTTATAAATTATTCGATATCAATTTCGTAATTCAACTGATCTTTTTAAATTAGATTTTAATATAATTTTAAAAAATAAATTTTAAAATTCACTTCACCTCCTTTCAGTAGTAGGCAATCTAACAGCAGCCAACAACCCATACAATGGTTTGGAGCAGTAAGAAAATGACAACAGTCACGTGCAGTCGGCAGAGATTATGTCAGTGTCATGTCAAAGAGATGTGATACAAGATAACAGTGTAGGTTAGGGACAAATTTCGAAAAAATAAAAGAAAAAAGAAACAAAAATTATGACCCTCCATTTAAAAATAATAAATC